GCTCTCTCTCTCTCTCTCTCTCGCTCCCTCCCCCCTTAATTCGAATTCATTTCAATAAATATCATCTTTATTTCACTAAAGAATTCTACCTCTAACGAGCTGTAGATAAAATAGTCTTAACAAATTAAAATTACCGTTATTTTCTGGTCTTTATCCGTTCAGTCAGATTTTGTGCTGCAAAACATCCATGACAGCCGTTGTCCATGCTGGCAAATAATAATGGCCATTCGACGTGAATTATATAAATAATTTTAATAGCACGGCCATTTAAAACCCGAGGGTCTACCATGTGCATAGTAAAGCGATGACTGCAGACAATCCTTTTGGGTGGGAATGTAAACACAGATATCGGATACCAGTCATGTCTAAAGTGAATGTGAACAGACGGGCCAAAAGATCGGATCTGTGTATTAAGACGTGCAGTGTGAACGCAGCCTAATTCAATCCAGTGAGGCTTTGTTGGTACCATCAACATTGTCTGTCAGTGGCTGTTCACTACTGATGAACTCAGGTTCAAGGCCTATAACATGCTATGAAACATATTATTGAAACTGCAATTGGGGAGATGCAAGCAGGTGCTTCAGCGTCTCCAATAAAGTCCAAAAAGACCACCACAGCATTGTAAAAAAAGGCAAAAATTGGAAGCAATTCTATACAGGCGTCATTGTAATTAATAAATTAGGTAATCATTTGAAAACATATACATTTAAGCAATTGTGCATGTAATTATATAATGATATAATGAACAATGTTAAAGGGGGTCATATGATGCGATTTCAATTTTTCCTTTCTCTTTGAAGTGTTACAAGCTCTTGGTGCATAAAGAAGATCTGTAAAGTTGCAAAGACTAAAGTCTCAAATCCAAAGAGATATTCTTTATAAAAGTTAAGAGTCAACCATTCCTACCTAAAACGGCTCATTCTAACACGCCCCCACATGTCAACGTCATGATGTGGGAAGATTTACATAACGCCACCCAAATGTTCACGCAAAGAAAGAAGGCGTAACTTTTATTCT